TTGCCTAAAGGGACCCCTTTTAATAATATATTTTAGTCATCATATTTTTTTTAAGCTTTTTAATTTTAGGTGCTTAGTTGTGCAATTAGGTTATGTAAATACTAGTAATAAATCTTAAAATTAGATATTTCAAAGCTACATTATTCTACAGTAACATAGACTAAATATTACGGGACAAAGTGTAACATTGCAACATGACGATATCATTGGTCTATCGGTTTAGGACTCCGCTTTGTTTCCGATAATCGAGGGTTCTATTCCTTGATTGACGCTAAAATTAAATGATAATAGATGACTTTGTTCTCATTCTACCTTGATAAAACTACATGTATATATCTATCCAGTCAATGACTATTGATGTAATATTCCATTATGCAACTTAATTACGTTACAATTAAGCAGCAATAATGATTAGCTACGACTATAAATTGTATTATTGGTTTGGATAGTCGGCTCCCAGGGGCGCCATTAGCGGTTAATTTATTGCTTTTCGTAAAGCGTAATGGCAATTTGGGATATATAATATCTACTTTTAATCTAAGACGTAGATACTTATAACGCTGCATATATATGATATGTACAGTGCATATATATCTAGTGTGAGTACTAGCTAACCACTGACTTGTTTTTTAGGTATCTTTGCAAATATTATACCTCATTCAAAAAACGTACGTTAAAAACATTTTCTATATCACTGATTGGAAACTTAATATCTGATTACTGTACTATGTTTATGTTGGATATTGTAAGAGATAACTATCTACAGAACGCAGTACAACACCGCAAAAATTAAAATAAAGCCATCAGCAATTCTAGACGTTTTAGAATGGTCTAGCTGTTAGCAAGTAAAGCGGTGTATTCGGCGTTTGTTGATCAATAAAGTATGAGTATGATTGTTTGTATCGGTCTGATGTGAATTGTCGTTATTATATATTTATTATTATTCTCTTACTTGCACCTGTGAATTCAACAATGTTATATGTCTGCAACGAAATTATTACAAATCGCATTCATAAATCTTCGTAAGCGTTTTACCCGTTACTTATTGGCAATCAAATAACGATAAATAAGATTTTTACAATTTGAATATGCCAAAGCATCGACAAGTTCAAGTTGAATTTAGGAACACATGTTGGTGCTAAGTTTAAGTATGGGTAAGGAGTGATCAATCACTAACAATGGCAGAACGTAGCGGTACCCAAGGGGAAAAAAGTTGAACGGGTGTAGCTGATTTATCGGTGTAGTTAGAATTATCGCCATTTGCAATTCTTGCCGCGGCGAGTTTAGCAAACAACTTGGCGAGATAACGACCTGTGGGCGGGCGGGTGTTCGGAAACTTGCACACATTCTTTCTACCGCTTGATCTCTTGTTTTCTGGCGTTAACATTATATATGGGAGATAATTATATACTATAACAATTCTGTTGCTGGCAGCTATACAGCATTCCTTTTATAAATATTGCATAATTTTGGATATGTTTTTTATATGTCACTTTTGACTACTTCTTTGCTAAATCTCTTAGTAATTACACTAATACAATTATTCAGTCAGTTGTCGCGCTACACACATAAATACAATTCATCGTGTAAATATTAATAACTAAATTTTTCGTGTAATTATATACTTATAATGCTAGCGAGTAACGTCGATTGTAGAAATAGCTACGTTGCTACGTCAACGTCTACACATTATTACAAGTTATAAAATATACAATTCAGTTGTCTGTGTAAAAATCTTAATGTAAATTTTTTTTTAAAATTGATATTATTGTTAATATACGTTACGGTCATAGTTTCATTTTATATTTAGGATCTCAGGAGAAAAACAGAAAGATTTTATATCATAAATCTATCTTTAAAGTAGGTAGTAGATACTACTAGGTAAAGTTCATGCAATTTTTTTCTACTATCATAGTTACACATTCAAAAATTTTTTTTTATTTTGGAAAGTAGTACTTTTATATATTATTAGATAAGGTCTAGTACTAGACAATAATTGCACTATGACTTTGTTTTGTCGTAACTTATACCTAATTCACTAAATGATAAGCTTGAAAATATCTAAATATAACATTATTGCTAATAAATTTAAAGACAAAGTTTACATAGGTATGTAATATGTTGACAGAAATATGTTCGACGAAGGCATCGAAACAGATGACACCCCAGGGAACATCGGGTCGTCACGAATGACTTACTTCGCCTTTTCCTTTGCACAATATCTGAAAAGGCTTCAGATGTTTTCAGACAGCCTCTGCAAACACTATACAGACTACTCAACGACTTTAGAAATTACATACTCATTTAACATTTTATTGTTTACTAAATAAATAGCTGATTAAACAGATCGTAATTTAAACATTCTTATAATAACATAACTGTTTTACTTTCATACTTTTACGTAAATATATATCTATAAATGTTTTTTTTTATTGTAACAAATCACAAACTTACACAATACTTTCATAAATAGACAGTTTTACAATAATCAACTTACATTAATGATTAACTGATCTGTGCCATTATACCTATGTGACCTCTAGGAATTCAAAGGTTGTAAGCTATTTCATATTATTCATAGAACAAAACACTGAATTAGACAATTCACGAAATACCTACTATATATAAACCTACTAATTGTCAAACAAATTTCACCTATATCTGATGCTAGTTCTAACACAATCAAATTGTTTATCCTACAATAATAGACACATTGGAGTTACAAGTAGCGCTGCTAACAAAATCACCAGCAGTTTTCACCGTAATAAACGATCCCACTAGCGTAATCAGTGGTCCTTCGATCCTTAGCCCTCCGAAGTTAACGGTGTTAACACCCATCAAGCCGAGGTCGTCAAGACCCGAGACTGGGACATTAAAGTCGACATTACGTCACCGCAACCCGTACTATAGTGATTATCTTAAAACTAACCCTGCCGTTATCCTTATTTGCGACTGCACTGAACTATTTTATATGATGTTAAGGCTTGATTACCTACGACCCTCATTCAATTACAATTATTAAGGTGGAGATACATACTAAGACAAATGCATCAAGCATTTGTCTTATATGTTAGCTTACATAAACTTTTAATAACCACACAAGTAATTCCAATCAATATCTTCAATGTTACGATTTTTATAAGACATACGTGCTATAAATTTTACGTGAAAATCTTCTAAAGCGCAGGTTTTTCTTAAGAGTTTTGCTATAACAAATATTGTAGATATAGTTGTACATATAAATATAGCGGGGGAAAAGGATTTGTTAGTAACGAGGGCAAGTGACAATCTGGGAGCCATCGTTGTTAATTCCTGGTGAATATGCCCCGACAGGCTAACCGACCTGACTTCATGCTCATCATCCTTCCCTATGTGCCGCGCCATCGTATCAGTGTAGGAGGGTCCACGATTCATTTAAAAAAACATTATAGGTATACATAATACTTACTTGCTGTTATCATAGTAGCTATAATAATTTTTGTACATCGATAATTAATCCATTTTATCCAGATTTATTTTTATTACCTATCTGTTACTTTTCAAAACCGGAAATTATTTTACACCCTTTACTTCTCGAGTTATGATGCAAAATGTGAAAACAATATTAGTCGCTTTCTCTTGATTATTCTAATACAGAAGATAAAGGTAAGTGATGATTCCAACGTAATTGTTAGGTTCCATTTAGTAACCATATTGAATCTTAATACCTATATAAATTCCTAATCAAAGTTAATAACCAAACATTTATTTTGAAATTGAAATTATTTTAAAGATATGACATAAATGTGTCTAGATAAGGCAGGTTCCTTTTTTTTTATAAAAAAAAATATTTTTAGTAATAGTAAAATAATTTACTCCTAAAATAAAAAAGGGAAGAAATCTATTGCATAAAATTTTGCAGTGACCGTCTCAAGACAGTAGGTAACGCCGTTCCGAATTAGATGCGGCTCGGATGGCCGCTTTGTGCCCGCACCGTGCCATTCCTCCGATATTGGACTATTATAGCTCACGTCAGCTTCCATTACGACTGTTGCTATTCTATCCAATTTGCCATTGTTTGGAACGTTCAATGGAGCCATTTTAACATTGCAGTAAATACGTTTAGTATGATACTAACAAAGCTGAACAGAAGAACTTAGTTTAGTTGAAAATAGGACTTTATTGAATATTGTGGCTTATAAAATACGTGCTTAGTATGTACTTTATGCAAACAATTGCAATATGTACTTAGTATACTTGTTAAAAGATAGCGAAATCATACCAATACTTGTTTATATAAATACTTATATATACTAGAGGTAGGTTACAATGCATATCATTTTCTTTCGTCGACTTTTATATCGTCTAGCTTGTTAGGTATTGCATATTAATATTTAGCCGGAATGTATAGGTATAGCGATAAACGACACGGATATGTGCTTGGTTTTTTTGATATCATAAGATTAGTAATTTAATATATAGTTTTGCCACTGCTTACTAAATTGTTTATTTCACAGGATATTTATTAACATTACATTCCTTCCTGCAGTGATATATCGTGCACTCGTAAACCATAGATATCGGCCTTTATGCACGTCATAATTTTGAATCACTATCCCCCCCCCCCCCCCCCCAACAGATTTCTTATATATGAGATACCGTATAAAAATATAGTAAGAAAGAACACAACTGCCTATAATACAAATATTAAATCAGTTAATTAAATTTTTTCAGCAACCACTTACTGTTATAGTTTGATCCCCAAGTATATTACTTATAGTGCAACTAAACGTCGGTCTTCGACGAACGACTGTCGCGCCGTACATATTGCTTAACGTGTGGCAAAAATAATTCAGCTACTATGAGTTTACATAAATATATGTACCTAACATATCTAAGCACTTCGCTCAATATAGCACCTGTTGCTATATAAAGCAAAGTGCCCATTCAGGAAGTTATGCTAAAGATAGAAAACATGCTGATTTAACATTTATTAAGATTGTAAACATTATTACAACAAATCACTGTCTCCCTGTGTGTTGCATTACTTGAACATAATTTTCACCTACCTCTATATCATGGTTGAGAGATGCAACTGAAGAATTCAGCATAAAGGATTCATAGTCACTCATAGAAAAATCGCAACATGTTTGAGTTATGCCATAAGGTCCAATAACAGTAGGCCCTGAAAAGTATCTGGTACCAAAATGTGGATTAGCGCTGTAGCAGTGTACAATGTCTTCAGTGCCGTTTATTGCATTCAATATATTGTCTACAAATTCATTAATAGACCAAGCCAAACCAACCACTGATGACCCTCGTCCATATTTGTAATTAACTACTTCGGTGCCAGCTTTTCTCACAAGTCTCGTCAGCATATCAGCTTGGCACGAATCAATGCTATAGTGACATGGCGTCAAATTAGAAAACAGTGGAACTGTAGTCTCTGTAGAATGACCACCAATAACAGGTATTTGTATTTGCCGTGGATTTACTTGAAGAGCATTTGCAGCAAAAGATCTACTTCTGGCACTGTCTATATGTGTAATTCCCATTATTTTGAAAGGATTATAACAATAATATTCGTACAAAAGTGTGCTAGCAAAAGGCACAACTGAATTAATAGGATTGGTAGAAATAGCTAAAAATGCGTTTGGATTTCTAAAGTCAACGCTTACGTAGAAAATAATTATTTTGGTACGTCCTATTTCTCAGGAGTGGTAACCATTGACCAGCAGGGTGCTGTTGAAATGGAAAGATATTCGAACCTGTCCCAATACGAGTGCCACATGCTGGAACGGAGCATTGAACAGTTAAGAAAGGACGTATCAAAAGGACAGAAAATATTAGAATTAGCATAAAATTAATTCATATTTTAGAATGCTTTATGTGTTATCTACTGTACCATTACGTTACTTATACAGGTTTACCTAAACCTGCAGCTTGAAGTTTCCAATAAACTTGCCATACAATTCCTTTAATATAAAATAAATTCAAATTACCAATTTATGAATCTATTTATTTACAAATTATTCAATTTTATTTACAAGACACTTATCAACGATCAAGGATAACTGAATCATATCACAGCGAACAATCAATTCATTTAACATTTTTTTAAACAAAAATTATTATGATCTATACACTAACTTCTAATCAAATAATACCTACTTACATTTAATTTAGAAATAATACTGAACACTTCTTTTGGCTATTATTTTCATGAATATAATTCATTTAAATAAAGTACATTGAAATAATTACTTACTGATAAATCAATTTATAATGTAAGGACAACGAAATTAAGTCATTATTAATTTCACAGTTCTTGGCAAACAGTAAGTAATAGAAGTTAATGAATAATCGACTCTTTCTCAATTTTACTTCGTAATTACAAAAATATTATTAAAGAGATATTAAAATAATTTCATGGTTCAGCATACTCTCATTCATTAACAACATTTGATAAAAAAACATACAAAATAATTGAAATTGAATATTTAACGGATGTATGTATTATTAAAATCATTTGATGGTTTTAAAAGTATTAGAAATTGATATTTTTATAATAATAAACATTGTAACTTAGGAATCTTAAATATTAATTCATTACAAAACATCATTTCATCTACACCCATGAATTACGCAATAACATGGCTACTTCGTTACTTTCGTCAGTCTTTGTTGATTGAAAAATACTAGTAATCATAGAAAAAATATTATTGTAATATTTTTTCTATGCTAAGTAATATTTTTAAGATTAATCCTAAAAACAACATATGCATATGCTGAAATAAAAATACATTCTAAGATTCTTAAAAATCTTTCAAGTCGTGATTTATGTAATATTTCATATAACATTTCAATTAGAAGTAAAAGTCAAACAACATTATACTCGTACTCGTTCATTTATCACATAAATCAGTATGATATTTTACTTTTGTAAAGGGCATCTGACGAAAGCATCTTAAACTATCTACTTTGTATCAAAACTACAACAATCATACTATGTATAAAACACTATATCCACCAAAACATTAGATACAGAGACACAGGCAGATCTTCTATCTGGAACAAAACGAATAGAATTAAAAACTCATCGAACATATAATCTCTCAGGCAATGGTAAAAACATTAATCAATCGCTTTCTCAGGCAATTTTTGCAAACAAAAAATGTCGGAGAATTGAAACTACAAAATAATAGTAATTGAATATGTTACTACCACTTACCACTTCAATCCTCGTTGCTTTTACTAATCTCGCTACCAGAGTCACTGACTGACGTGGAGCGTATACTGATGGACGTCTCCTTGAACTGACTGATGAAGTCCAGAAGCTTCTGAAGGTTTCTCTGCGTCTTAATTTGGTTTGCAAGGAGCTGTCGTTTCTCAGCATTATGATCATTTAAGTTCTCTTTGAGTGACGCTGCTCTAGCTTCTAATTTTCGTAACTCTTCGCATAATTCTATGTTTTTTTCTTGTAAACGTTTTCGTTCCGCAATTTTATCTGAATATATAAAATGAAATATGTGATATACTTTGTACGACATCCTGGGCATAAAAAGGAGTGGTGACAATTTATATTCTTTACTCTAACATTAAGGCAGACATAATAACTGCAAGAGACTTGTAAAGAAAAGAAACAGTAAAATATATGTGATAAATCACAGTGATATTATTTAAATTCCAATAATTTTCTACTTATTAATACCATATTATAAAACGTATCATTTCGTACCAATAAAAATGCACCGGTTAAGTTTACCGCCAATTCTTCTCAACTAAAGAAGCTAGCGGAACTAGACAATAGGTATTTTGATAAAAAAAAAAAATGCGCGCTTATATATTTCAAAAGTGATATATGAATTAACTTCGAACAGGGACAGACCTCGATAGAGCTGCGCGTCGTCGGAATGCAGGGCGTGGTGGGCGTGGTGGGTGTGGTGAGCGTGGTGGTGCGAGCCGACGGAAGCGGGAGTGGCGGCAGGGTCTGGCAACGGAGCCTCGCACGCTGCGCACAGTCCGTCTCCGCAGCCCGTGTGCTGCCACACGCAGCACCCCGCGCACCAAACCAGCAGCGATGGCACGTCTGATCGGTAACAGATAATGCATTATATGTTGGTATATTTTTATATTATACTCAAGAATTTATTTAATACATATAATATAAAATAGTTATATAATAATGTGTTTGCCATTTTTTTTCCTTTGTTGTTACTGTCATGTATGTATTTATTTCCACCACTTCACAATTCCTTTCAGTCATTCTAAAGTTGACTACAAGAAATCTCTGATTTGGGATAAGTCCGCCGTTGTACAACTTATTTTTCAAGATCGTTGCATCCTACTACGTATATTTTACGGTAAATACATTTAAAATAACTAAGTATTTTAAATGTATTTACCGTACAATAGAGGATTACAAATATTTTTTTAACGGTTTACGACGGCGGGACACCAGTGGAGGATGAGAAGAGAACATGAGGTCAGGTCAGTTAGCCCAACATGGAAAATAGCAATTTACCAAAATGGTTTCCAGGTACCTGGTACAAGGTACATTGGTAGCACTGGAGTTAGCCCTCATTACTAACAACCACTTTCCCCCTATAGTCTAGTGTATATACATACGAAATAACTTATTATTATGTTTGTTGTCTATCATATATATGAGTTTTCTTAATAATGATTTGGAGCTTTAAGGCCTTTACAATGAAATGTTACACCTGCTAGGCTAATGGTATGCACAGGATGCTGTTCTTCCTCAGCACTAAAATGTGTACAGTGTGAACATAGACATAGCAAAGTAGAAGTGCGCCTCTCCTATCAAGTAATACACACATATACAGTAAACAGTGTAGTTATATGACAGCATAGATGTAAATAGGTAACTAAATTACTTACCATTTCTTCCACAGCTATTACAAACTTTTTTTGTCGACGAATAAACCGGTTCAACTGAAAGACCTGCCGGCAGAGCAGCAGCCCACAATGGTTTAGCATTACTCCAACCTGTTATAGAGAGCCAAAGAAAAATAAATTTTACTTACACAATACAATTTTTAAACTTCTATTACGTATCTAAATGAATCATTTGAAGATGTAAGATATTATGTTTCATCATATGGAACAGAACTATCTTTGTTTTAATTATTAAATTTCATTAATGATTAACAAATTAAATTATTTAAAGCTGAAAATATATTTGTATAATATGAATTATAATAATTTTCACCAAGGCAAAAACAATATTTAAAGAAAAAATAAATAAATGGCTTGCCTTTATTTTCTGTGGATGATCCTGATGGAGATCCCTCACGAGATGACTTGTTCTGACTCTGCAAAACCATATAACAATATAATCAGTGTAGGTAGGTATATTTGTTTGTATGAAAATCTCTGAATAATATAAAGGAAAATCCATGTTTCCACAGTCTGTTTCTTCACTTACTTTTGCTAAACCATACAGTAAATTTTAGTCCCCATTATTTAGAAAATTTCTACAAATTTCAAGATGGAAGAGTGAGCAGTAAAATTTCAATAAGTATCAATTTTCTAATAAATGGTACTTTTTTTTATTATGGATGAAATTCTACAATGTTATATGTATATGCAATAAGCATTGCAAGTTTATAGATCAATTAATGTTTAATCACTTCTAATGATGTCTCAACATTAACATTGTAAAAATTAAATATTAATAGTAGTTATAAGCTTGTAGTTAACAGACAAATTACCTGTTGTTTTCTTAATTTTGCAGAACGTGTCTGAGGTGGATCATTGTGTGTTTGTAGATAAGGATATTGATTGTATTTCTTTCGTTTCTGTAAAAAGATAATGAGCATAAGGTCAGGTAAGTTAGCCCATGGTTGGTTTCCAGGGAGAACCGCGTGGAGGTAAATTGACTATATATGTTGCTAGCAATGGAGTCATTATTCCATATTACTCACAATGCCCCCACCATGCGTTGTTATTAGTGGTACCATGTGGTTATCAAATATCTGAGTGGCAACAAATTTGTCATTTTTATGTAATTGGAAGGACAAGCTGACGCCCCATCTGTTGGTAAGTGGTAGCCGACGCATAGGTATATAGATACCAGACATGAACAGCACTACAACATAATGGTATATAATCATCATGTGACGCCGTGATACCACTCAAGCATTGCCATTCCTGAGAATGAACATACTCACTATTTCTTATATTTATGTAACAAAATATACTTACAGAGATCATATCAAAATTTCCGTATAAAAAATCATTTCTGTTGGTACTTGTGGTCGACCTTTTGCGCCGTTCATTTCTTTTCTTAAGCAATAATTCCTTTTGTGATGGTGTGACCAAACCTATTAGCCTGAAATATTTATTTTTATTGTTACAATGCACATTGGCTATGTGCTTTCATAACAATTTATACTATAATTAAAATTGCATTGTCAAAAAACCTATAGATATATATATATATATGCATTACATAGAGCTTCTTTACCCTAGATAAGCTTAATGTAAATATTTACACAGACTAATTGAAAATTAATAGTTTATTTATATAAAAATTCTGGGATCAGGTGTGTACTCCAGAAATTATTTATTATTGCAAATGCGAACATAATAAAAGGCTTCCAATATTTTTAGTTGTAATGGTGCTATATACTTATTTATGCACTAGATTCATAGATGAATGATTATCTGTTAAACTCCTAGACCACCATGATGTGCTCTAAAAATTTATCAAACCATCCAACTTTCCACTGGACTAGATTTCTTGTTTGGTACAAACATTTGTATTCATGACTATGATTGTATAGGTCAGAATGTATTTAATATATTATGTATTATGTATTTTAAAAAATATATATTTTAGTATTTATATCAATAATATGGGGATTAAATGGCACTGTGTGAATTGTCGTGGGTTATTACTATTATATAACTCAGTCAAAACAAACCAAAATTATTTATATAGGGATTCTCAATTGTATTAAAAATTATTATGTTAGTGTTATTTAAATTTCTTCTAAACAAGAACCAGATTATTACCTCATAAATATCTCCTGAGACACATGTTCCCCTGCTTCAGGAAGTGGTGGAGGTGATGGTGTCGGTGAAAGTTCTACTCCTGGTGAGGAATCTGAGTCAGATCTATGATCTTGCCATTCATTGTCATGAATCTTAGTTCCGCTGGAATTCAAATACACATATATGATTATTATAATAATTACTCTTAAGACTCTGTATCTATTGAGTTCATTGGTATTTAATAATTTAGATTTATAATATGTATATATAATTACTTATTTTGTATTAAATATATTTTACAAATTATCAATGCCATCAGCGGAATTTGAATTATTTTGAGTTATATTAATAAAATGTTACTGTAAATCTAAAACAGTTCAATTTCGATGCTAAGGTCAGCTTATGCAGTATTTTATCATTTTATTATTTATTTCCTAATAATATTTTAATATTGTTTACAATAGAAAGTCTATTGTATAATATTATTGGACTATACTTACTGTTATTATATTCAATCAATTATACTTACATAAAGGCTTGCTTCACCTTGTTCAGAGCATTAGCAAAATTATTTCTACTATCAATTGTGTTAGGCAATTGTGAATAGTTTCTATACTTTTCCTTCTCATCACTCTCACTCTGGTTGGAATTTTCTTTTTCATTTGATAATTTCAATTCACTATCTGAATCAGATAAATTTTCTTTTCCATTGTCTGCATGATTCTCACTAGCTATATGTATTTCATTGAGTACAGACGGCTTAAGTAAGGAGGCAGAGTTAGATCTGTTCCTGTTACGATATTGCATTTGGTGATCCCGTAACTGCTGAGCTACATAGTGATTATCATTCTCGATGTTAATCTGTTTATTTCTTGCCTTTAAACGTTGTTGATACAATTCTAACTCTCTGCGTAGCCTTTCAACTACTAGTTTCTGTAATTGTAATTTTATTACAATAAATTTAAATATAATATTTAAACTTTTTTACCCTTACACATTGTTAATTAAACTTTGATTTTTTTCTATAATCTATTCTTTATTTCATCAATTTAAAAATTAACTCTTCTCATTATATTGTATGGGTTAATAAACAGACATGAAGGTAGAATGCCAGTATTTAAGAAATGATGGATGTACTATTTTAATTTTTAACCATCATCAAGATCTCATAATTTAATCTCCAAGCAATATTTGTGTAATAAAATAAATAATACCTGTTTTTTTCCAATAACAATAATTTCTTTTTCGGCTTCTTTAACTTTTGATTTTATATGTGTATTCTGAAAATTAAAATAATATTCGATTATGAGAAAATGCAATATCATTTATGATTCATGTTATGAACAAAATAAAAATTATCATACGTTTTCATCTTCTTGAAGACGCGCGATCCAGACCTGAAGTAAACAATCACATAATTAAGTGAGATTCTATATTTTACAAACAAATATTTTTAATAACAAAGCAACAAACCTGATGTACTCGTATCGCATTTTTCAAATCTAATTGTGTTCTGCGAATATCTTCCTTTATTTCATTAGACACTTCCATTGCTTTTTTATGTCTCACTTTTAATAATTTGTTTATTTTTAATTAATTCCTAACTCACAACTCTACTTTTTATACAATAGAAGTAATAGATGATATGCATAATCAAAGAAACAACTGTTTCAAGATTCATGAACAGTCGTACACTGAAAAGGAAGCGTTAGCTAAAAACACTTTACAAAAGTTATATTTGACAATTTAATTATATAACTACGATCTAAACATTTAACAATAACATTAAACTAAGAGTAGCTTTTGACTTCTATATTCCAAATCTATTTTGAATTAATTGTTTTCCTTTAAAATCTCTAAAAATACTTAATTATAAATTTTTGTGTATGAACTGTCTATATTATGTAGACGAATATAAAAGACTGAGATAGTAGTATATTTCTATTGCATTCATGGCGAAATGTTTCGATGATTGGCGAAGACAGTAGAATACGTTTCGTTATAAGCAGTATTAGATACCTTAAAAACATCTACACATGGTTTTAAAATTAGTAGCTATATGAGTAGCGATCACTTCATTATTATAATTCCGCTTAGAGATTATATAATAAATATCAGTCTCATTTTGAAAAAATAAATTACTAACTAATCTGACTCTCTTTACTCATATGTACCAATGTGTAATACATTGGTACTTCTGTGTTTTGAAGACTGCTAATACTATTGAGTTCTTATTATAGTTTCTGTTTTTCATTTAAGTTCAGCAAAATAATTTATAGTCTATCTTGTTGGTAAACCTTTAATTCTTACACATTGCATAATATTATATTTATTATTCTACAGCAGTATCTAACATTTACAAATTTTAGAACAGTCAGACATTTTGGAGATTAGCACGCACATTAGGTATGTAACAAAAACAAATTTCTAATAATCATTGTTTGTGTCTTATTATACAAACAAGTCCTCAGATACCTGCAAATTTTTTTTCATATATTTTACATGTACAAAAAGTAATCAGTTAATGTCATTTTTTTTGTTTTTTATTTTGAACATGTCACCATTGGTATTGCAAACTTATCGTAACAATTATTAAAATTAATCAACACAATTAAATAATTACCAACTGAGAAGGATTTATTTATTAAATTACTTTTATCAACGCACACAAACACAGCGCAATCTCAGTTGTAGGGGCATGTAGTATGTTTTGAATAGTGCCCACATCAAATTTGTTGACTTTTTGGAGTTAATGGTATTTAAAACTATTGTTTTAAAGACAGTAAATAATATACATACCTTCATTACAGTTTTCCCCAAAGGAGTAATCATACGCATTATTGTCGTGGTAAACTCAATATTTCTGCGCCTCTAGTGAATAAATTGCGAATTACCTATATCTTAGATATCTACGTACCTAATTGTAAAACAATTATTTTTTAGTTTATTATGTGTATATATTTAATGTGACTTTACAGTAGGCATCTATCTAATACGCACCACCTAGTATCTACATACTAATATCTTATGTTCTAATACCTAGATGATGTGTCAGTATCAAGAAGTTGGTAGAGGCACGTGGAGCAAGTGTACGCACTTAAGGTTTGAAGTATCATATTATAAAATATTTGAAGTTAACTGGAACAAAACAAGGTTTATTATATAAAATATTTAATAATCTACCACTTAAACGCAAAATAAATAATTATCATTTACACAATTTTTTTGGAAATCAACAAAATCAAAACTGTTTAAATGCGTACACTTACCCAAGGGTAAGTATAGGGGTAACTTTGCGCAGTAGTTCAGGTAAGTGTACGCAACATGTAACATACAGTAAATAGAGTCAGACTCATACGATAAACCAGAAAATAGACTTCCTCAACTTAATACTACATCAGTTCAAATATTTCCTTTTCAAAGTTATTGTATTATTCATGCCATCAGCTCTTTCAGATGCTGCATTGGATCCAGTGTTCATTCGGTGGAAATATGTATTTTTCTCCATACAGTGGGCAAAAGAATTCCTACTCATCATTATATTTATTTTCAGATCAAGTCGTATCTTCTTTTTTAGCAATTTATTCTTCCTCTTGTTTTTTTCTTTTTTCCAATTCTACTTTATAAGGACTTACAGTATCAATGATTGACTTTTTACCTTTCTTTCGCCGATTTTGAATCACTGTCATCCATCCAAGAAATGCCTAAGTTGGCCTTAGGTATTGCTTGGATGGATGACAGTCGTATATATTCATTCCTAGACGAAGGTACACTCATTATTGCGGATGCCACACTATCGTTTGCTACCAACCTCCGAAATTATTAATCTTTTGACAGCTTCTAGCTGTTCCTCTGTGACAACACTTCTATCCGGTATCTTTCTTTTATAATCTTGAGGCATTTTTTATGTACAATTAAACTCTGAAATAACAAATTGCATCATAAATACAAAGCCAAAGCGGAGCGAGGTGAGGTGCGCTTACCGGACATGCGTGCGCATACGCATGCCCCAAACCATCAAAATAAAATTTAACCAGAACTGAGCAATATTACGTAAGCATCATCACCAAAACATTAAACACGGCTTATATTACATAATATGTATTGTTCGATGGTATAAAGCATAATTTAAAATATAAATATATTACAAAGGAATGAGTCTCTCATTTAAGACAAGAATCGCAATAATTCATGCAAAAAACAATACTCACTTACGGGAACAAAATGGTTCACCGGAGGCTAGTGACAAACTTGCACCAAGTATAGCCTTTTGTAACCTAGCCTGCTTTCGGCTGGAGAGGACCACAAAAGTTGCCGGTCCCAAGCCCGGACAAATAGCGAGGGTCTTTGTATACAGTATATGTATGTATATTATAAAATAACTTATAAGTAGTGTTATATTTATATTAATATATCCTTCTGCTCTTTCAAGCTATCATATTTATTTCAATCAGCTGCACCTAGTAGGTGAGTCTGCAGCACATATGTATATGTATATAGTATCAATAGTGTATTTATAAATAAAATGTGCCTGGGCAAGCACCAGAACTAATTATAGCCAACTTATATATATTTACCTATATACTATTAAATTTAAATAGCTTCCTGCACCTACCTACGCTAAGGCCTGCGCAGTTGAGCCCCGTAAGCGGGGAAGACGGGATCCTGGGAGGTTGAGTCAATCGGAGGTCGGAGCAGTTACCTCCGGGCGACAACACGCCTCCTTTGGCCCATATTTCTGGCGAAACGGTCGCCCGAGCAGCCAGCCACTGCCTTGGGAAATAGTCCACAGTGCTTTACCGTCACAGGAGCACGGCGAGGAGTGGGAAGGTCTCTTCGGAGAAGGTAGTCGGCCATGCTGACGGGGTAAAGCACTGTGGAAGTTCTCTAGCCGCAGTTGTCCGAACTCCCCATGTCGCGCAAAGACGCCGCCTTTCTGCTCCTAGATCCACTCGAGAAGATCCTGGTGCCATTGCGGCATCCCCATTTGCGGGCTCCGAGGAGGGTGGGACATCGAGTGGACGACTTTTACATATTCTCACATTATGGACATCATCGATGACATTGAGAAACTGCTTGAAGGAAGTACCTTCGACGATAATGAACGTTCCGAGTGGGGATCCGACACACGGCCGCAATGACGGACGGAATGATGAGCATGGTGCGCTCCTCAGTTCTCCGGGAAGTTGGCAAGATCACGGAAGCTGGGAAGGGCCCTCGATTTGTAGGTTGCAGTTTCAAACCTGGTTGGCTGAATCTCCTCTAATTGCGGACTAATCACCTGCCAGAATGAGCCGACCAAAATATGGCTGGAGAGCATAACGCCCTCCCTAAAACCCTGGGCCGACGCAGAACTCTCTGTGTTGGACGAGAGAGCGATGCCCAAACCAGCCATTGGAACGGCCTTCATCCCCAGTTCGGAGACAAAGTCGGTCGATGAGGCACTCAGAATGCTGAAGTCCCAAAATGACTGCCTAAATTCCGAACTCTCAAGAGATAAGGAGAACCCTCCAAGCTCACATCTACAAAAGCCCAACCATGAGGCGTGGAACAGAGCTGCGAGGATTTTTCGACCAAAACAAATTATATGGGCTATAAAATCTTTCAAGCCATATAAATCATCGGGAGAAGATGGAATTTTCCCGGCCCTGTTACAACAAGGGCTTGACATCCTATCTCCCTATCTGGTAAGAATATTTAGAGCCAGCTTTGCCTGGGGTTTTATACCAGAACCATTAACAAAGGTCAAAGTTACCTACGTACCGAAAACCGGTCGAAGAGACTACTCGCAGCCAAAGTCTCACAGACCTATAAGCCTAACCTCTTTGATAATAAAAACCATGGAAAAGGTTCTGGACCTATACATTAGAGCTACAATCCTCGAAAATACCTCCCCTGCACAGGAATCAACATGCCTACCGCAAAGGACATTCCACAGAGACCGCCTTGCTCGAACCGACAAGGTCGAGAAGGCCTTTGAGGACAAACAAATAGCTCTATGTGCATTTCTCGACATTGAGGGTGCTTTTGATAACACGCCCATAGAGACCATCTCACAGGGACTCATCCGCAAGAAAGTGGATGAAACCACCACTCAATGGATCAAAGCAACGCTCTCAAATCGAACCATTAAAACTACTCTTCATAACAGTACGTTAGAAATCATCCTTTGGTAGGTCGACCAAAGGATGCCCTCAAGGAGGCGTTTTATCACCACTGCTGTGGCTACTAACGATAGACCAGCTCTTAGATGTTATGACCAAAAACCAATTTGAGGTACAAGGCTACGCAGACGATTTAGTAGTTATGGTCAGAGGGTTCTGTGCAACAACCATATCAGACCGCATCCAAAGAGCACTAAACATCATAGTTAAATGGTGTAAGGAAAATGAATTATCAGTAAATCCTGATAAAATAGTAATTGTTCCGTTTACAAAAAGGAAGAAACTTGACAAACTTGTCATACCTAAAGTAAATGGAAGAATATTAGTGCTCCAAAGAAGTAAGTACCTGGGCGTAACCTTCGACCAAAAACTGACATGGAACACACACATAGACTGCATAACTCAAAAGGCGAAAACATCCCTAGGAATAAGCCGACGGGTAGCGGGGCCCAGATGGGAAATTAACCCCAAAATTGCCCTATGGCTTTACATAGCAGTGGTGAGACCGCTTACCACCTATGCCTGCGCAATCTGGTGGTGGAAAACCCTCCAATCCACAGCTGCCACCAAGCTAAACAGCCTACAGAGAATTGCTTGTCTGATTATTACAGGAGCCATGAGCACCACGCCGGGAGCAGCTCTAGACGCATTATTGGACTTGACGCCCCTTCCTTTATTTATACAGGAAAAGGCGAAAGCCAATATGCTCAGAATAAGTTCCCAAAGGAGGAT